CTCCACTTCCACCTCTTCGTAACAACCATGCAGGATAGTGTTCTTGCACCCTCTTGGACAAAACTCGAGTCGAACGACCGATATACCTAGCTCCACACGAGCAGATGAATTGATAAACACATATACAGAATTAGCCAACAGCGGGATCTTGTGTTTCAGGTTATTGAACAGTAATGGTCGACTAGTAAGGGTTATTCTCAGAGATGCAGCAGGGGCTGTGATGTCCTTCTTCTTCACTGAATCATTTGTTTTGATTTTCTAAAATGATGTCGCCTAGAAGCAGAAGAACAATTCATTCTATCTTTATGACTTAATGATAATAACAATGTTGTTCTCGTTGTTCTAATTTTCATGAAATCTCTGCAAAGTGAAACTTCAACATGTAGTCATAATTCAGTGATGAATTTTCAAGTGAACATTACATCATATTGTACAGATTGAATGCAGAAGGAAAAAGCATTTTAGCAAACACCTTTGAAACTTCAAGCTTCTAAATATTAATCAATACATACAGATTTAGCTGAGTTCCTCGTGGAACATAGGTCTTCAGAAGCCTATTTTCACTTGACTTTGCTCTTCGCTGTATTTTTCATTTGGTTTCCTTAGTACACACAAACCTTCATTTTTTCTTCACACGATCTTCTCCACTTCATCTCCGTATTCATGCCCAACTCGCCATTTTCCATCCGGGTACCACCACAGAGCCTGCTGTGGCGCTTAATGCCTACTCAGTAGTGGCCTCAGTGTATATTCCATGAACTATAAGTTGTTTGTTGTCTCATTTATAGAGTCCACTACTGCTGATCCTTTCTGGCTGGTTATTCGATTTTCAGTACGGAGAAAAATGGGCGGGTGTGGACGAAAATCTGTGTTAGCCTGTGGAAATGGTTTCCATAACGTCTCAGGTCTCTGAACTATATAAAATACACTGGTTTGACATTAGTGTTGAAGACCCAGATCTTGTTCCCAATGCTGAGTGGAGTGGGTTTCCATAGTGGTTTTCAAATAGTGAAATTCCGTCTTCATTTCCCTATGCCGCCACCTGAAGTTGAAATGATGCTGCCTAAATAAGGGAAATAGGCGACTTTCGCTAAATTTTTTCGGCTTATAGCTTTTTACATTAGGTTTGAAAAATTTCATCGAATAAAGCCTGTTAGTGGTCTAGCAACTTGTGATGGGTTTTATTTAATAAACAGTTTAGGACAAATAGGTATAGTATGATTACAATATTGTAACAACAGAAGACAAGGGCCAGGCAACAGATCGTTTATTAAGGAAATTAAAGCATATTTATATATTTTCATGTACATTATTGTAGATTAGTTAAGCAAACAAACACAGTCTTCTGATTGGTTGTTTCTCACTTAAAGTTAATCTTTCATCTCTTTTTGACTGTTTCTTGAATATCAGATCATCTATATGTTAACTGTATCTGCAAAGTCTGCTGTGATCGGTTTTTGAATGAGTCTTGTTCATATTTTCTCACGACCAATCTTGAGAACGTAAACATTGACGTCAATTACTGTCTACCAATTTGGCTAGTAGACAGCTCACACCGCAATATTATTGTTCTTTTGGGTTCCGAGTGGAACATAGGGCTTCAACAACTCATCTCAACTTTTTTTATATTTTCTGCCATCCTGTCCCACGATTGCCGATAATTTCTCATCTCCTCCTCGCCAAGCGATCTTCTCCATGTCACCCTCACGTTGACGACCCACTCGTCTCTTCCCATTCGGCGTGAGATATCATTCGGTGGTTTCTTCAATGTATGCCCGATCCATATCCATTTTCTCCTACATACTTGTTGAGCGATCGGCTTTCGCCTGTTGGTTTGTTCCCATAGTTTCTTGTTGCTTATTCTTTCTGGTAGTTTAATCTTCAGTGCAGAATCAGAAAAGTGGGCAGCTGTTGATAAATGTCTGCAACCTGAGGAAAATCCTTTTCGTGACACCCAGTGCAAGTTTCTGACTCGTATAGAAGACCTGACCGACTTGACATTGGTGTTGATAATCCGGATCTTGTTCTTTATGCTGAGTCAGTGGAGAAGTTTTCCACACTGATTTCAGATTGATGAAAGTGTACCTTGTCTTTCTGATCATGGTTGGCTGACTTTGACATCTTAATCAATTCCGCCTGTAGTTGAAACAATGCTTCCTAGATAAGTGAAGGAAGTAATCTCTATCAAATCTCTCCGATTGATGGCGATTGGTGCTGGTTGTTGTTGCCCTTGTTTTTGTTGGATGGTTATCTTCATCACCTCCGTCTTCTTCATATTCAGCTGGAGTCCTGTATTCGCTACCTGCCAGCCTCTTCTGCCAGTTTGTTGGTTTTCGCCTGCAAGTCTTCGAGTTTGTGTGACATTAAACATATATCACCAGCGAAATCCAGATCTTCTAGAGTCTTCCTTTTGGTCGTCCAGTGTATTCCTGACTCCTCGCCCCCCCTTACACAGTCTGACGCATAGGTATAATAAAAGGGGTTATTCTATACATGTTTAATTCTATGTTAATATGAATACTTTTGAGACACTTTCACAAAAGTTTCCAGACATTAATTCTTACCACCACGAATACTTCGACTAGACAATCTACATCCACATACACCATACAGTCAGTAAATTCAAGAACTGCTGCCATTATCTTGTTCTGACATCTCCTGCTCTTTTCCAGTCGAATCCAAATTTATTTGATACAGCTCATTGAGAAGGGTTGTGACTTAGCAGGCACCAAAGTCGATGAGACTTCATAATCTTGTCATTCCATATACTCTCTATCACTCTCACTCCATATGAAACAATCCATGCCCAACCACCTTAACACTGACCATGTTACTCCAATAAACCTGAATAAGCAGATAAAGGAACATGTGATGAAAGCATTTCAGTCGAGGTATTCACAAAAGTCTTATCACATAAACTAATTGTTGAAATATATGCAACAGTGTCAAATAAAAAGAACTGATCCAACTATATAACCAACATTTATTATAAAATTAGATTTAAAAGTACAGGATATTTTACCTAAAGACTTCTAAAAAATTGCTTACTATTAGATCTATTGGAGGTCTAGCACAAGACAGTCAGAATTTGGAGAGCTTAAACCCGATCGATAGCTGCCATATTGACTTGGTGGTCGGACTTACATATCGCAACAACCCAACGAGCTACACTGCCTGAAACTATTGTTCCTGCTGGTCCTACCATGCCAGGTAGGTCGTCAGGATAACAGTTAGGCAAAAAGCAGTCACCGGTATAGTGCAAGAATTATTTTTTACACTATTCTGGGGGTCTGTGGGCGAAGTCGTACTGCTGGGGAACAGGGATGTAACTGCAATGAGATGTTTCCCTGAGATGACCAGCATGCCTGCCAGATATGGTGTGCCTCCACTCTGGAAAGAGAGAGAGACGGGGTTAGAAAAGGTCGACCCGAACAATTGTACATCCCAGCTTACTCTACGGTGGTCCGTAACCGGCGGTAAGTTTACTAATACGGAACCAGACCAAGAAACCAGTTCATACAGACCTTGTGTGACCGGCTGGCCTCAAGCAGTTGTCCCCTGGGCTCTGCGGTCAGGCAACACTAATCCTCTTTCTATTTCAGACACCCAAAGAATCAATCAACCTCCACGTTGTGGGCAGCAGAGTAGTAACAACCGCCCAGACACTTCCAATAGCACACGTAGCCTTCCCGAGCATCATTCTTCTTTACCCACATCACCTTCACCATCTTACTCCCCTGCTACAGTTAGTACTATTATTCAGGAGAGTTTAAATCACCACTCAGCTAATAGGTCTGCAACCAGTCGTTCGTTTTGTCTAACATTCTGCCACTTTAAGATGTGATATAATTAATCAACTATTGTTGCTGATATGTAGCTATCATCATAGGTAACTTTGTCTGCTCACTCACCCAAAAATTCCAATACTTTCAAGCCATTTAATTCACCATAAATGCTACAAATAAAAATATGAGATCCTTGAAAGTGATTCCGTCGAAAATATTTGAAGTCGTATATGCGGTTAAATAATTTATTAATTAAAATTAATCAATGAATTGGTTCAGAGACTTGGTGTACACGCCATCAGAAGCCTATCCAACAAGCAACTGTTAAGTGTTATCAATACCTTCTCACTTCGTTCCATACTTATCATCAGATAGCCGACTAGAAAGGATAAACGACATGCTACTCTGGTAGCCAACCAACAGAAATCCTGCCCCTCCCCCGCCTGACGAAAACACTGAGGCGACAGTTGAGTGACGTCACGCATCAGGCAGGCCTTAATGGGGAACAATGAGTCAGGCATGCATTTATGCATGAAGGAATTCGTTTGAGGAGGATCTCAAAGCTTATTGGCTATCGTAATACCAGCTGGAAAAGGAACAGAGTGTAATAGTGGGGCAACATCCTGTTGAGTGCCTATATATTCCACTGAGAACTCAAGGAAATTACAATAGTAATGATAAATGGAATAGATTTATGTACTGATGTATGTTTTATAAATAGATGGAGGGTTTTGTCATGAGCTGACGTCAGTTAGAGAACCACTGGAGAACCACCATTAGTGTACTGGACAGCTGTTTCTCTAGTCCTAGTCTGGGTCTCTTCATCGGTATGCACCCACCACAGGGGGGTTCGAACCCAGGACCTTCTGGTTACAAGACCAGTGAGCGACTATTTCACAATGTCTTCTTCGATGAGTTACTGAATTGGCAGAGGTTTGAATTCATGCATTGGCCATTGGATCGGGTCCCACTGGCTCACTGGTCTATGGGCTATCTCCTCGGTTCAAACCCTCACCCCCCTGTGGCGGGTGCGTGCCTCTGAAGAGTCTCAAACTAGGTCGACGAAGAATCTGTCTAGCAGTCATGGTTTTCCAGTGGTTTGACTAACTGATGTCGGCTCATGATGAAAACCAATACTTGTAAAGTGTGTTTTTGATAACCTTTCCTGGTGCTTACCGTTGTGTGTTTTTTTGTGTGGTTTTTTGTGGTTTTCAGGTGAGAAATTCGATAATTTCACTCCAGCGAAAACAAGACGTCGAATCGGTGTTATCGTTGGCATTTTAGATCTGTTCCTATTCGGTGGATATCATTATGGCTTCAATTCATTAATTGGAATATATAAATCCCTGGGATTATTCGCCTACAATTGTACACAATCTGGCTGCATGTATGACGATAATAAATTCGGGATTGCTTTTAATGTCTGGTTGGTAACACAAATGTGTTTAATTACACTAGCTGGATTATTTATGGATAAAGTTGGCTTGAGAGCATTAAAATTAGTAGCAACTGTCATGTATGCAATTGGAACAATTATGTTTGGATTTACAACCGGTAGCACACAGGTGCTATTCTACGCCGGAGGTATATTAGTCGCATTGAGCAGTATCTGTACACTGATTTGTGATCATCAGATTAGTTCAATGTTTCCAGAGAAACGTGGTTTTTGTATTTCACTGTTTTCTGGAGCATTTGATTCGAGTACAGTGATTGCCTATGCTATCTCTGTGAATCATGTGCACTTTTCACTACAATGGTCATTTGTCAGTCTGGCTATTGGGGCATTGATTTTTGGCACTTTTATTGCCTTATTTATCCTGACAATGAAATCAGTGGATATGTCTAAATTTGCTAGGATAAAGGAGAAACAATCAGTTTTACAATCAAGGGTAAGTGTTTGTACAAAAAAATAAATAAATAAATAAACAAACAAACAGAATTTATATAAATTACCAATAAATGTTAAAAAATTATATCTGTGTAAAATCTCAGAGAGATTGAAAGGAGTAATTCCAACGTTTCCCTACATTTGGCAAAACTGATCCGAACTTCTTCAGGGAAATTATTAATCGAAATTAGCATAACAGAGGTTTTCTATAGTTTGGTTTATAAGGGTTAGTTTTCCATTTACGAGTTGATCATGGATTGATATCAGTTAGAGAACCATTGAAAACCAGTACTGGGGTACTGGACAGCTGTTTCATCCGACGAGTATGGGAATCATCGGCAGTACGCACCCATCACAGGAGGTTCGAACGTAGAACCTTCCGGTTACAAGGCAAGCTAACTCGTATTCCATTCAGCCACTGGGACTTGGTCCAATGACCAGCCCATGAATTCTAACTTCTACCAATTCGTGATTTTTAGGGCAACCACCAAACAATGTCACCGGTGGGACATCCATCCTCACACTTGAGATTTGAATGAACATTACTGGTCACAACTTCTCACTAGAACTCCAGGAAACTCCGTCCTGTAGCATAGTCACTAGCGGGCATCAGATTAATTTTCTATAGTCTGATTTGATGCTTTCTAGTGACTTGCCGCAGGATGGAGTTTCCTGGAGTTCTAGTGAGAAGTTGTGACCAGTGATGTCCATCCAGATGTCACGTGTGAGGATGGATATCCCACCGACAACATTAGTTAGGATCGCGCTAAATTACGAATTGGTAGAAGTTAGAATTCATTAGTTGGCCATTGAATCGGGTCCCAGTGAATGGCTGAATGGCATATAAGCTGGCTTGCCTTGTAACCGGAAGGTCCTGGGTTCGAACCTCCTGTGGTGGGTGCGTACTACCGATGATTCCCGCACTCGTGGGATGAAACAGCTATCCGTTACCCCAGTACTGCTTTCCAGTGGTTCTCTAACTGATATTAATCCGTGATCAACTCGTAAAATAACAGAGGTTTATATATGCAAAAGGAAATCTCTTGTTCTTAAAAACTTTATCCAATCATATGCGTCATAAAACAGGTGTCGAAATACAATAAACAAAATTGTATGAATTGGCAGATGTTAAAATTCATGAGCTGGCTGGCCATTGGATCGGGTCTCAGTGGCTTAATGTCTACGAGCTCGCTATGTAACCAGAAGATCCTGGGTTCGAACCCCTGTGGTGGGTGCGTATTAGTGAAGAGTCCCAAACTGGGGCGAAACGGCCGCCCATTACTCCAGTGGTGGTTTTCCAGTGGTTCTCTAACTGATGTCAGCTCACGATGAAATCATCCAACCGAAATTTTAAGAGCTGTGATCAAAATTTGACACCATACTTACAAATATTATTCAAGTATTAATTTGAAGGGATTGGTTACAGGATTTAATCATGAACTGACATTGGTTAGAGAACCATTGGAAAACCTGAGAGTACTGTACAGCAGTTTCATTACCTTGGTCTCGGACTCTTTATCAGTACGCACCCACTGCCAGGGTTCGAACCCATAACCTTCTGGTTACAGAGCTAGCGAGCTCATAGACCATTACAAATATTAGTCTACTTTTGCTAAATACTTTAAACAGAGTGTACGTTTTCATCAGAATTTTAGTGATTACGTCAGACTACAAGTTCATGGTCGTACATAACTGAATATGGAAATATATATGTGTATATGCAGCATACGACGGTGTGTGTGGACGGACAGTTGTAAAACATTTCTTACGCTCTCCATAAGAAGATATGGACAGTCGAGAATTTTGACCAAGTATTATTAATTAGTGATACATATCCATTTTTTATTTATTAGTAAAGATTTCCTATGCATCAGCTAACATCACGCCTTCATGTCTGTTCAAACTGTTAGTATCTAGAATTTTATGATCAGACATATTTTCAAAATTATGGTGTTTAGGATTAGAGTTTAGTTGAAATACACCCTGTCGAACTTATTGCTTTGTCTTCTTTCAGGAGATTGAGCTGCTTTATTCGAGCTACTGGAGTTGTCAGGTGACTCGACAGCTACGGATTTAGGATATGCATTACTCTGTTGCAGACAACGGAGAGTGAAAACACGATGATTGTGCCAATTAGCACAGTTTCTTTGTTAATTTAATTCGATTGCAAAATAATTCATCAAATGAACTGTCGTCAAGATTTGACAGAATAGTTCTAAAATATTTGGGCGCCGAGATGTTCTTTATGTGTATATAAACCTCTGTTATGTTGATTTTGATTAATTTCCCTGAAGAAGTTCGGACCAGATTGCCGAATGTAGGAAACGTTGGAATTAATCATTTCAATTTCGCTGAGATTTTACAAATATAATGTTTTTTTTACAAATGTCTACTTCTCATTTGGCGCCCAAATATTTTAGAACTGTTCTGTCAAATCTTGACGACAGTTCATATAAAGCAATAAATGTGTTGTTAATAAAACAAGATTTGATGAATTCATTAAATTTCGATAGAACTACTGTTCATCTGGATACCCTTTCTCTCTCTCACTATGATGATATTAGATGGTTGGAGGCGATCGGCCATAGGAAGCCTTGCTTGACGTAGGTTTCTTGCTTGTCTTAGCATTCACCAGTCAGCAAGGCAGGCGTATCTGCAGCTGCCTTGGAGGAACTCATATCCCTTCTGAGATTCGGACCCACGTCACCCAGTGCTGCATGTAGTCATATACGATACCACTGAGCTATTTGGGCTTGCGATTGATCTCCTGTAGGACTGTAGGGGATATTTTTGATTGGGAACTAATAACTGGAATGGTGGCAACATTGCAAACCTGACTGATAGAATTCAGTCTGTGTACCAAAGAAAAGAACTAGACATAAGATGCTGTTTCACTTCACATATTGATTATTTCTTGACGAGAACTTTTCACTGTAGTCTCGCTATATCTCCTTTTTAATGCATGTAACTTTGTGCCAGCCACTCATTCACCTGATACCTTTTATATCCTCAAGCTGACTTCAGGTTAGACCATGGATTGATATCAGTTAGAGGACCAGAGAGTACTGGAAAGCCATTTCGTCAGCCTAGTCTGGGACTAATTCTTCATGGGGGTTCGAACCCAGGACCTTCCGCTTACAAGGCCAGTGAGCTCATAGACCATTCATCAACCCCTAGGACCCAATCGAATGATTAGCCCATGAATTCCAACTTCGGCCAATTCACAAAGTAGAGTGACCACTAGTTAATATCATTATTGGTGAGTATTTGTCCTCACACGCCAACTGCTGTAACCCCCCACCACCACCAGTCACGACTTCCCACTAGAACACCAGGTGGTAACTACCGACCTGAATAGGGAAGGTCGTTGGTGAGTATGAGATTGATATTCAAGTTTAACTTTGCAGGCATTTGATTGGTCGAGTGTGAGGATAAATACTCGTCTCAGGTGACGTTGACTAGGGGTTGTGCTATGTCGTGAATTAGTGGAAATTGGAATTCATGAATCGTTGGATCAGGCCTCGTTGGTCTGCGAGCTTGCCTTGTAACCGGAAGGTCGAGGGCTTGATCCCTGGTGAGTGCGCACTGATGATATATATGTATATTAGTACAACTTCAGAATGATATCGTTGAAGAGTACTTTAGATTTTTCAGAACTAAGATTTCTAGCTTTCATATGTTCACGAAAACACCTTTTTTGATGCATCAGTGTTTATACACACTGTATTCGAACCTAATCACATTCAGCAGTTGTATTATCCACTGCACTTAATAGCTACTTCTATACTAGGAATGACATCCTTATATGATATGAGGATGGAGCATTTAAATCTCTTCCCATTATGATACCGAAGGAGGAGAGACGACTTAATTTTGGCTCACCGTATATTCAAGGGTGATTTAGGGATTGACCTTTCAAAGCTTTTCTGTCCCTCTAGCATACATTTACGGGGTGACCACAAGAAGGTGTTCAAACCGAGGTCGAATAAAATACGGTTGGAGTGTAGATTCTCTCACAGAGGGGTCAACGACTGGAACTCCTTACGTCACCTGATTCAGTAGTAACAGCTCCATCGGTGAACGCTTTCGAAGAGAAACTGGATCTCTGCAGATATATATATATATATCGCGAGGATTAACATAGACAACAAGAACCTTCTATCCTTATAATCTGAATCCCAATCTGACATCAGGTTATAAACAATCAACGACTAAATTGAAGTTTAATCCTTTTCTTGACCAATTTATATTTCATTTGAGCTTAGTACTTATATTGCATGGAGGATTTCATCATGAGCTGACATCAGTTAGAGAACCACTGGGAAACCAGCACTGGAGTACTGGACAGCTGTTTCGTCCTAGTTTGAGACTCTTCATCAGTATGCACCCACCGGGATGAAATCCTCCATGCAATCAAACAAAAATTCCAACAAAACCAATAATTGAAAACTTAATACCTTCGTTGAGAGACTAATCGTCATCGGGATACTCTCTCTCTCTTCCTCTCACTCTATACATACACGGATATAAAAGTGAGTTAAAATGCCTTACACCATTCAACTGCATCACTTAACTTAAATAAACAACTTAGTTATGGGTGTGTGAAATAACTTGAATATACCAAAAAATGAAAATTAAGTAATACTAATAATAATAACAGTAATAATAATAATAACAGTCATTAATAATCACAGTTTTAAAACGAGTTAAGATAATGGCAATGATAAAAGATAGTTTTAAATGAATCAAAGAACTTTTAATGCTGGCGAACTACACATCTTATTATTCTCTACATGACCGATGGTGATTCCTCGACTGAAAGATGAAGTACCTAGACTAGCTAGCCACTTCTAATTGTATCTACCAATTCAACTGTGCTTGTGGTGGAGCGAGTTATATTGGCCGTTGCTCTAGGAACTTGATTTTTCGTGCTCACTCGCTTGAGAACATTTTCCAGTATGGCTAAGTAAAGGTGTAGTGAAAACCATCAACAGTTCGATA